AGTAATATCCCTTTTAGTTCTGAAGCTCATTTTTGCTGAAAATTAGTTCTATGGCACGGAAATCGTGCATTTTTTTTAGTTGAGTAGTCGTTCTTACTTGTGTGTATAGATTGATGTCCATGTTTGATATAACAAGTCTAACATTAATTTAATAAAAGAATATGTTGGCCTTTGAATCTGAATGATATAGATGGCATCACTACAGGTGACTAATCTTAGATGGCTTTTGTTTTCCTGTATTTAGTTTCAAACAACGGAACCCAAGAGTTGTTACGTGTGACCCCTGGTGGTATCCTAGCTCCTGGATAAGGCCTCATAGCCTCCGGTAACGAACATTTCATGTTTTTCTTGCTTATATTTATTTAATCTCAATCTAATGGAAAAGTCCCGAACAATAGAAATCTTACACAAGCGATTTTCTACTGTAAAAATATTGTCCATCAGATAAATTTTATCATGTGTTCAATTTTCCAGTGTTCCAATTCTTGGAGCATCTGGAGAACAACGAGAAACCCATAAATCAAAAGAGCAATGCTAAGTTCAAGATAATCAATCTTAAATTGAAAGAAGGAACAAATTATGTCCCTGACTTGGTGAGTAATTTACTTTCCTTAAAAGCATTGCTCACCTAACAGTTTTGAGGTTATAAAACTACTTACTACAGTGGTTGAACGTATGATGTGTGTAATTATTCATGGAGTATGTTGAAAATTTGTGATAACTTAAGCTCATTTAAGAAGGGATCTTGTGGGACCAACCTTTATTTAGAGATTGAAAAAAGGATGTGCGTTTTTTAAAATTAGAGACCTTTTTTTAGGTTCACTGCTCTAATTTTTGCATGGTAGTACACCAAGAGTTTTATAACGAATAAACATTACTTATTGCTGTTTTTGTAAATTTCATGTCCACACAACTTGTAAAGCACCTTCTTTAGTAGAAAATGGAGCCATTTCTTTACATTCATTTCATGTCTGCTCATGTTTGTACTCACATTTCCTGATTGTGGTTTCATCATAATTATTCGATTCCAATACTATTTTTTAATATATTTTGTCAAACTTATTGTTGTGTGATAGTAGAGTCCCTTTAGAGATTGAAACCATCAGTAGCTTCATTTTGTTTTCCATGTTGTCACATTTGGTTCGTATGTTATTAGTCTGAAGCCTGTTACCAACTCCAATGCCAATATGATCTGTTTGACGCCCGAAGTGCATTTTTATTTTAATGATGGTTTCTATAATCAGTCTAGGAAACATTTTTCTGCTACAAGAGAATTTTATAGTGCTTATTTGTTCATTCAATTCAATATTACTCNGACAATACATAGTTACAATACTTTGATGAGGGAAAAAGCGAAGAAATACCATGAATGTCCTGAGGGTGTTACTTGGTCTTCACTGTTAACTGTTGACATTCGGTTCACGAAAGTTGACAACTTTGACCAAACCTTAGTATTATGCAGCCAAATACACCATATTAGTTGGTATTAGCTGGAAGAAGAATCGCGTATTACTTTTCTACATTTCATATTTTTCCAGAATTTCATAATCGACAAGCTATAATAATTGACCGGCACGTGTCTTGATTTTTTAGCAGAATATATAAAGTCTAAGCCAATGTGAGTGAAATAATAATTGGTGACTGGTGAACAATTGGTCAGCAATAATTTTATCCACTATACTTTGAGCGGAATTTATAAGGTC